AGGAGACGCTGGGATGTGACGAAGCAGCAGCTGGGAAGAAGAAGCTGGTGTGGGAGTCTGTGTGTCAGACAGGGTACTACTGTGTGTCAGAGTACCAACCTGATAGGTTCAGGTGTCTGTTGGTTAGCCAGAACTGATAGGTTCAGGGTCTGTGCTTCAAGTTAAGGGTTCTGTGTGAACCAAACTGTGTGTATGTATGAGTGAAACTAAGCCACGTTACTATATCTTATTCACATAATCCTTTTATTTTCCCTGTGTGTTGTTTTAAATAAACCTTGTTCTTTTATTTGTTGAAAATCCATCCCTGGTCTGTGTGACTTCTTATAGGGAATGGTTGGTGGCAGCTTAGTTAACGTGTGGCAGATCCCAGTAGGTCTGGGTTTGTCACAGACACCACCCAGCAGCCTCATATAGATGTTAAACAGCATTGGGGAGATGATCTACCCCTGTGGGACCCCACAATTGAGACTCCATGGGGCCGAGATACTCTCCCCAAGCTGTACTCTCTGGGGACGGTCCCCCAAGAAGGAACGGAGACAGGCGAGTGCTGAGCCACCAATTCCCAACTCGGAGAGCCTCCCCAGGAGGCTACCATGGTCGACGGTATCAAAGGCCGCCGAGATGTCGAGGAGGACCAGCAGAGATATTTTTCCCCTGTCAGCCTCCCTCAGACCAATGCCGTCTCTGTACCGTGGTGCGGCCTGAAGCCCGACTGAAACGGATCCAGGGCATCTGTCTCATCCAAGTGGGCTTGGAGCTGATCGGCCACCACCCTCTCGACCACTTTGCTCATGAAAGAAACATTGGTGACTTCACATAAGTAGGCCAATGCTATTTGCAAGTCCAATACAAAATGAGGTTTCTAAAATAAGGACGTATGCTCTGCTATGATACAACTAAAATAAGTGGTAGAGAGAATTCCACCTATTACAGTGAAACATACTCATTCAGACATCCATTAATACAGATAAATAAAAGGTAGTATGTTTAGAAACAAAGAATGTTGGTTACATTTAGGGTTGGAAAAAATTATCATTATCATTGAAAGGAAAAGGATTTATGCATGATGATGTATTAAAAATGTAGCACAAGGTAATCTAAGATCTTGTCTAGACTAAGACGACAGAATAATCCTGGCATGAACCTAATGATCATCCATCCATTTAACTTAGCGCCCTAGAATAGAAATGGAAGTTACTATGTGATTTAGGACAAGAAATGTCATTGAGCAGATAGAAACATGATTGTAATGACAAAAGCTAATGAAATGCCATAAAATCAGAGAGAGAAAAAAGCCTACTTGATTTCTAACAGGAAAGGCTCTGGCAGGATTAGTGTTTTTAACTGCTTGTCAAGTCACTTATGATTTATGGCAACACTATGAAGTAGAGACCTCTAGAACCGGCCATCATTAACAGACTGACTCAGGTCTTGCAAACCAAAGGCCATGGCTTCCTTTATTGAGTCAATGCATTCCAAGTTAAGTGCTTCTCTTTTTCTGCTCCCACCATCTTTCCCAGCATTATTCTCTTTTCCAGCAATCTCTTCATCTTGTCATAAGCTCAAGGTGCAGTAGCCTCCGTTTAGTCATTTGGGCTTCTATTGAGAATTTAGAATTGATTTGCTCTAGAACCCACTTAATTGTCTTTCTGGCTCAAGGTATCTCTAAAGCTCTTCTCCAACATCACATTTCAAATGTAAATTAATCTTTTTCCTACCAGTTTAGGACTATCTAGTTTTCACATGTATACATACTACTCATGAATATCACAGTATTGATGATCCCAGCCCTGGTCTCCAGCGACATATCCTTACAATTTTTAAGGGTGTTTTCTATTTCCTTTTAAAATGCAGTTCCAAATCTCAGCCTTCTCATTACCTGGCTGTAATATCCAACTAGGCTGGAACCATGATATACAAAATCTGTATATATTTAAATTTCTCCATTGTTAGCATTAAACATGTAATTCTTCCATAATAATTGTTTCTGCCTTTTTTACTGTTTAGCTGTGATCATGGTTCTGACTTTTCTTCGTTAACTCCTACTACCAGTTTTTTGAATACATTATTTTCTCTGTCTGTAATATTTCGTGACTATTGTAAATTACTGATGGCTAGAGCCTGACAGATGACTTACTCTGGTGCAACTGCAGTGGAATAAACTGAAGCATTGTATTACACTAGTTGCTGCTTATACCCTTCATCATGCACCAACTCATGCTGCTGACACAAATTATTGGAGGTATTTTCTATCAAATTTCACTCCTCTATTTGAATGGAATCCAGTTTTCTGTATATGTTCTGCGTATAGAATGAAGAGATATGGAAATAAAATACACCTTTGCCAAAGGGAAGCCATTGTTTCTCCACAATCTTCCTAACAGTAGCCTTTATACAGAGTATAAATTAAGACAGCAAAACAAACACTTATGCCACACCAATTCGTTTTAGAACAGCAGTTTTTCAAGATCCACATCATTAAAGGCTTTACTGTATTTTATAAAAAACACAATGATTTTCTTCTGAAATTCTTTGGTACACTCCAGTAGCCAACTTATATTTGCCATGTGTAGTACCTCTAGTACCTCTTCTAAATCCATCATGAACATCTGGTATTTCTTGCTCACTACACAGTACAAGTGTTTGCCATAATATCTTGAAGACCTCTTTGCTCGCATGGGAAGTTAATGCACTGGTCTTGGTCACTGCAATCCTTGGCCTCCTTTATTTGAGACAGGAGTGTACATTGACATTTACCATTCTGCCGAGCAAAGACGGATCACATGAGGAAACCGCTGGATAGGTTTAGGTCCCTGGCAGTAGAGCCAGAGGTTGGGAGTTCGATTCCCCCCACTGTGCCTCCTCAACAGGGGCTGGACTTGATGATCTACAGCGTCCCTTGCAGTTTTGTCATCATCATCATCACTATTATTACTATTATTATTACTATTGAGCTGCACGCTGGCTCTCACAAAAAACTTCCACAAAAGCTGTCTTGTTCCTTTGCCCGACAAGCCACAAAGGGTCTCGCCGCGACTGAGAGACGGAATCGGTTTCCTTCGGCCCAAGGGGTCATGGACTACACAGCCCATGTCCTCAGAGACAGGGTCGGCTGCAGGCCACGAGAGCTGAGGCCGGGCGAAACCAGGGAAGTCTTTAGGGTGTCTCCTTTGCTGCCTTGGTTCCCACCGGGTGCCCGAAACCTGCCCTTCCGATCCCAGGACGTGCCAACCCGCCTCCGGCCAGGCCCGTTTCCTCGCAGCTCCCAGAGGAAGGGAGGGCTGGAGAAGGCTTGCCGCTTCCCCCCCCCCAGCCCGGGACGCTCGTCTACTAAGAAGGGGGCACAAAACGGGTGGCCACGGAGGAGGATGGCTCGTTAGGATTGTGGGGGCGGGTGGAAGCGGGGAAGAGGGCCCGCTGCAGAAGGAGCGCCGCAGCTACTCACAGGGGCCGAATCAGGAGCTGGTCGCTCTCCTCCGCCGGGACGAAGGTCTCGGTCCTCCGCCTCACAGACGACATCCTTAGGGAGAAAGAGCGGAACCGCGGAGCGCTGCCGCTTATGCTGCTCCGCCACCCGCACTTCGCATCGGGGAGGGACCCGGAAGAGAAGTCCTTCCATCCTCGTCACTTCCGGCTCGGCCCCCCTCCGAGGCTAAAATGGGGTCTCGGAGCATAGACATCGCGCATATGCCTAGAGCGGAAGAGAGGTAGGTAAGCCGAGGGAGCCGGAAGTTCCCCGCCGGGATGGGTGCGACCCCGGAAGAAAAGCCGGTGGGGCAAGGATTCTCTGGGCTTCGGGCTTTTGCCGCCGAGGGGGGGGAGGGGGAGGAGGGTGTTTCGAAGGCTGGAGAAGGCTTGGGGGGTTGAGACCCAGCCCGGGGAGGGGCCTTCTCGATTCCCCTCCCCCCTGGAGCTCAGGGGCTGCCGGGAGGCGCGCGCGGAGAGAGACCTGCCAGAAGCTTGGGGGCGGGGCGGGGGGCGTGTTCTCAACGGTCAGCTTGCAGCCCAGCGGCGAAGCTCTCCCGATTAGACCTCCGCTGCCTGTGCACCTCCGCTGTCGAAGAGAGAGAGAGACGAGGGGGATTGGAAAGGAGGCGAGCCCGCCTGTCCCTCGAAGACAGTGTGTGTGTGTCTGGGGGGGGGCGCGTCGAGGCGCCCCTGCCCCTTGGCGTTGTTTCCAAGCCCCCGTTTGGGCAGCCGTGGTGGATGATGGCTTTCGACGGAGGGCCGTCCGTCCCCTAAAGGAAGGCCGGAGCTGCGGGCCCTGCGGCCTCTCTCTCGCCCTCGACACCCTTTCCCTTCTGGCGGCCACTGTTGCCCCGAGAAGACTTCGGGGACGGATAGTCAGAGGTCAGGCGAGGCGGACTGGGACCGCTTTGGGCTTCCCCTTCAGGGACCTCGCCGCCTTTGGAAGGAGAAATGCCGGCCGGCCGATGATGGCATGGCGGCGGCCCGGTATGGGCGAAGCCTCCCCCGAGAGTCCGTCCTTTGAACTCGGGCTGAACCTCCTCCGCCTTCCAAGCCGTTGCCTCACGGCGGGGTCCCGATCCCCGCGGGTGTCGTCCTGCTCGTAGTGTGAGGCCGGCCGGGCTTCTCTCTTAATCTCTCTGGGTCGCGTTTCCGGGGCTGCTGGCCCTGATCGAGGATGTTCAGGAAAGGGAAGAAACGGCACAGCAGCAGCAGTTCGCAGAGCAGTGAAATCAGTACCAAAAGCAAGGTGAGATTGTACTTTGCCAGGCTCCTCGAAGACCGAAGCAGTGAATTCAACATGCTGAGGCATTGGTCTGACTCTGTAACTTGGTACCGCGTGCACTGTCTGTGCCTGTCAGCTCTCTTAACACACCACCAGGAAATATACAATTGCCTGAACAGGTACAGTGGTGCCTCGCATAACGAGTTCTTGGCCTAAGCTTCCTTCAAAGTGTGGATAATGTCGATGTTGCTCATGTGAAAAAGTTAGATAAAATAATAATAACCTTACACACTTATGATCATTTAAGGTAAATCTTTTATTTCTAAATGCTTCTGTCATACTGTCAGTTATATGGATCCTCTGAGAAATGTGTCATAATGAATGAAACAACACTGCCTGTAGGGGAGAGTTCTTAAAATCTTTTCGTTGCTAAACATGCAGTTGTATTATAGTCTGTATTATGGCTTTGTTCAAACAAAATTATAAAGTTGAGTGATGTAACATGGATCTATCTAAGAAAGTTGTGCAGCAGACAGAATTTAGAGCAGACGATATGAGAATCTTATATCTTAATCGATTTCAATGGCTTTCTCATTCTGCCCTACTACTTGTGTCAAGTTGTGAGACTTTTTTCAACCTGGACATTAATGCACATGGTTGAGAACATCTGTTTTTCTGGTGTACAGTTTTTAACATACTGTACATTGATCGAAGCATGCTTTTTGTGCATTTTAAAATGTGTGCGTGGTTTGTGTTCATTGTCTCAAAATCCAGATGTCTAGGGTTCTGAGGCAAGATGTATTCTGTTCCATTGTCTTAGATGATGAGAAACTGGTATTCCTATACAGAAAGGCAAATCCAGCATCACATTTTGAACATTTAAAGGTGAATGATTTTGCAAGTTAATGGAGGAAAAATTTTCTTTGAATGTTTTATTTTTTTAAAATGTCTTCTCCCTGTTTCTTTTGAAAACAGTTTTAAAGAGCAGAAGCCTCTTAGATTCCTCAGCTTGCACAGCAGTCTGTTGTACAGTGGTGCCTTGCAAGACGGGTGCTCCGTTTAACGACAAATCCGCATTATGACGAGGTTTTTGCAATCGCAAAACGATGTTTTGAATGGGGGGATTTCGCTGCGCGATGATCGGTTCCCTGTTTTGGGAACCGATTTTCGCTTCCCAATGATCAAAACAGCTGATTGTCGGGTTTTCAAAATGGCTGCCGGGTGCTCAAAATGGCTCCCCGCTGTGTTTAGAAGCCATTTTTCGCTGCACAGGCACCAAAAAATGTCCGCCCCCATGGAGGATCTTCGCTGGACGGTGAGTTCTTAGCCAATTGGAACGCATTAACCAGGTTTTAATGCATTTCAATGGCTTTTTAATTTTCACTTTATGACGTTTTCGTTCTACAGCGATTTCGCTGGAACGAATTAACGTCGTAATGTGAGGCACCACTGTATAAGCTGTTGGACAGTTTCCAAAGTTGCACAAGGAAGCCCTCAGTCATAACTTTGTGCTAGATTGGAAACTGCCATGCAACAAAATATGTGGAAAAACTATGGACAAAAGTTTCCTAAAATCAGTATTATTAAAGTAATATGAATTTAATGCATTTTAATTTCTGCCCCTCAAAACTGAGTGAGTGAATTGTAAGAAAGCTATTTTCTAGAGGTTATTTGACTAGAAGGACTAAATAGTATTTCGTATTTATTTTTCCTTTCCTAGTCAGTGGATTCCAGTCTTGGAGGGCTTTCAAGATCTAGTACCGTAGCTAGTTTGGATACAGATTCCACAAAAAGTTCAGGTATGAAACTGATGGTGGGCTAGATTAAACTGTCAGATTATTTAAAGAAGTGTTGAAAATAAATAGCAGTTACATTAATGAACATATATGTTGAGCAGATAATGTTGTTTATAAGCAGAAAATAATCAAATATTTGCAGCCTGTGTAAACATGCATACAGATATTATTCAGTAAACATGATTTGGTTGTTTGTAGTATTAGGTATAGTATTGGAATATTTGCTGTTTCTCATTATATAGTGGCTGTAGGCACCACATAACTGTGGCAGGAGGAATTTCTGTATTATCTTAACTGTAGAAACGAACTTTCAGAATGGACAGCGGGCGGACAGCACTAGCACTGTCTTTTGGGCAACATTTTCATTATTGTTTTTTATTCACTGATACTTCTCAGTCCTCCCACATTCTGAAATTTGATGTCTCTTGTTTGTGCCAGTAACCAAGTGGATAACATGGAGTGGCAATTATGTAGTAAAAATTGTGATTATTCCTATCTTTGTGTAGACCTACGTGTTGGTCTGAAATCGCTCCCTGGGGGGCATTATTGCCCACGTTAAGAACCACTGGTGTAGACCTACGTGTTGGTGGAATATCTCTGTTTCTGCACTGCACTTCCGAGCTGGAAGCGTATGGCTGCACACCAACATCCTATTGGGAAGGCTGATCTGACATGTACAGTACCTACGTGATATATCAGTCTGGCTTCTTTAGAGAACCAACTCAAATTACTTGACAGACATTTATCTGCTTTGGATTATGAGTCCAAGATACTATGTTGTTGTTGACTGAATGTTTTGTTTAATTACAGAGTGGCCTTAAAAATATTTGTCATACCTTAAGTTGTTCAATAAAAACAGTTATTTTAATATTGATGATTTTCCATGTGTTCCTTTGTTTCAAAAAGCAAGGAAGTTCCTCAAAAGGGAAGAATCTGTTTTAAAGCAAAAAGTTAACATTGAAGGTGCAGACTGAAAAGAAAGGAAACTCAGGCCACAGGTAGAAGGTGCATCACTGGGACCTTATTTAAAGCACAGGGGAAGTTGTGGTCCTTACTTTACCTACTCTTCAACACACACACTCCTTCTAACATTTTTTATTCTCTTTCTAGACATTGCCATCTCAGTTGTCCTTGTGGAGTTCACAACCTTGTGAGTTAGTGTAGCAACTTGATGATGTAATTAAATACAGTACAGTATTATGATTTTTTTTGTAGGTCAGAGCAATAGTAATTTGGATACCTGTGCAGAATTTAGAGTTAAATATGTTGGTGCCATTGAAAAACTGAAGCTTAATGACAGCAAGATTATGGAGGGCCCACTAGACTTGATCAACTATATAGATGTGGCACAGGTAAAGCTTTTCTTTGAACGCATTACAGTACTTCTAAACTGAATGGGAACATCTCACTTTAGGTGTCTTTTTATGGACAGTTGTGGTTTTCAAAGCAACTGGCAGGTGAACCATTTTTGTTTTTGAGAGATAATCTCCTGTTTTCCCACATTCTGAGCAGCCACTTTTGATCCATCTTGGAAGCAGAGCCAGAAGGTTGGAAAACTGTTTGCTTAAATGTGAGCAGTGATTGTAAATTTACGATATTATTTTTATATCGTTTTGTTTTTTAAATGTAAAAATGTGTATATTTTAAATTGTTTTTATCTTGTATGTTGTGAGCCGCCCAGAGTAGACTATGTCTAAATGGGCGGCATATAAATGAAGTAAGTAAGTAAGTAAGTGAATGTATGAATGAATGAATGAATGAATGAATGAATGATGCACAAAATGTCTGCTGCAGCATTCAAAGATATCTGGCTGGCCCCAGACTATACGGATACGTGAATTGTCTGCGTTTGCCAAATTACGAATTTCCTTCTTATTTCTCAAACAGCAGAAACACATAAAAGATATAATAGTTTGGCTGTGATCATAGTACATCTGATTGATGAATAAAATACTGCAGAAAGCATTTTAGTTACTTATTGTCCATCAGAAAAAGCATTTTGACCCCTATGAAATGTGGTATAATGGATTTGCATAATGCGATCTTGTGGTGTAAGTCCCAACTGGTTTCATGGATTTAGTTGGTCTGTTCTAACTGAGACCAACAGTTGGATTTAGGCCTGTGGGTCTCCAGTAATGTACTGTACGCTGTAAGAAATATGCTTCATTGCCAACGTTTTTAAAGAATAAATGTTTAGTAACTTAATTGGAGATGCTCACATGTATGTGATGTGGTATTTCTTTTGTTTCTTTCCAAAGCAAGATGGAAAGCTACCTTTTGTTCCAGGAGAAGAGGAATTTGTTATGGGAGTTTCCAAATACGGTATTAAAGTTACAAGTTTGGACCAGTATGTAAGTGATTTATGGTTTGAAAAAACGGTGTGGGTTTATGTGTGGGTTTATTGTGAATTACAAGGTTTCTTTCGCTCTGCCCTACTGGATTTGCTTTTCTGTACATCCTAAACCAGGAGTAGTCAACTTGTGAGGATGCAAGGAGCCACACCTCCTGCTACCAGGTTTAGGTTGCACAGTGGTAGGGGAAAACAGTTACTGTTCAACTTCAAATATAGTGCACAAATAGCAGACACCTACAAGGAGGTGAGCCCTTTGGGAAGGCTCTCTGAAAATTTTGCCCTTTTTATGTACCTTGTTTTAAAGGTAAATGCTCGCTTTCCACATTCCCTGTTCTGCCAATTTTAAGCTTTTCAAATATTCTGTTTTCCAAATTTCATTAAGTGCCAGGGGGAGGGCTGAAATAAAAAATAAGAGGGGGACCATCAACAGCTGAAGGCTGCATATTACCCTACAAATCATGAATACAGTGGGGTCTCGACTTATGAACGACCCTACTTGCGAACAATTCAACTTACGAACCAGCCCCATAGGGAAATAAGGACTCGACATACGAACTTCCCTCAAGTTACGAACAGGAAAAAAGTGCCCCCTCCCTCCCCTTAGAGGCTTCTGGAGGGGGAAAAAGGGTCAGAAACTTAAAAATCAATAAAAGAAAGTCACTTACCAGGCCTATGTAGCCCCTGTACTGCAGGAAAAAGAGCAGGAAACAGCTAAAAGCTGACACCCAGAAGGGAGCCTGGCAGCCATTTTGTGCTTTTCCCCTGCTCCTGCCCCCCTCCCCCCTAACAGCTGATTGGCTGGCTCTGAAGAGGCTTCCGGAGGCTTGCTCAGCCTAAAAAGGTTGAGGTGTGAGTTCCAGACTCCTGCCTGTGTGTCTTTGTGCTGAAAAAATCAGCACAACATGCTTTAAACATGCTTTAAAATTGGCTTCGTTTTCTTGACCTAAGGAAAAAAAACCCAGAAAAAATATCCCCCTCTAGTGGTAGAAGGCGGAATAGCAGATTCCCATTAGTTTCTATGGACGGAAAAGAGCAGATACGGATTAAATGGTTTTCAAGGCATTCCTAAGGGAAATGCAGATTCGACCTAAGAACTTTTCGACCTACAAACCGCCTTCCAATACGGATTAAGTTCGTAAATTGAGACCCCACTGTAAAGAAAAATAATTTAAGGAATTCTGTTCTATCTGTAGAAGCTCCTGTGTTAGTGATGCTTTGGGAGAGGGACCCAAGTGTCTTCAAGGCCACATGAACTACCTCTCTCCCAATTCTTAAGGTAAATTGTGGTAGGTGTGTATACCTGCACAGGGATTTATCAGCCTTCTAGGGCAATTCAAAATAAGCTTTAGACAATATGAAGTTAACCAGACACTTCTGGGGAACTGTGATTCTTTTTCATGCCGTGAAATGTAAAGGTCAGTCACTCCTTTATTGCTAAGGGATTTTTTAAAATCACCTATGAACAGCTCTTAAGCCGAATTCCAACAATTTTAGCAAATAATGGTTTCCTTCTAAAAGTTTATGACAAATGCTTATGTTGTTCTGATGAATAGCAAGTATATAGAACTAATATGCGTTATGTGAAGTTCTAAGTTATTGTGGAATTTTCAGGATGTTTTACATAGACATGCTCTCTACCTAATTGTCTGCATGGTCTGCTATGATGATGGCCTTGGGGCTGGGAAGAGTCTGCTGGCTTTGAAGACAACAGATGCAAGCTGTGAAGAATACAATCTTTGGATATACCAGTGCAATAGTTTGGTAAGGTTCATCCGTCAAGACCACCCTTCAGGCACTGTAGACTTGACAAAAAGCAATTTAATGCGTACTCTGCTCTGTGTACCATTCCCACAGATGTCGTTCCCATAGCTTGCTTTCTGGATTGCTAGACCAGAGGTAAAACCAGGGGAAACTTCCAGGAAATTATGTAAGAATGGAATAGTGCTGCCTCCTACTTGGCACATGATCTGTGGCACACTTGTCCCCCACCCCCTTATTTGTGAATTAACCAGCTTGAATCCTGTTAATTATAAGTATACAGTAATTCTTTCTGCTGCTATCCTACCCTTTGGCAGGAGATGCAATACTAATAACAAACAGCAGGGATATTATAGTCTGATATTTTGAAAGTAACTTTGTCTCCCTTTTTGGCATAATGATTTTCTTCATTTCACTCTGATTTTATGGTGCTTGAAGATCTGAGGGATAAAGTAATGTGCAAAAGTTTATACCTTCATGAAATGAAGCAGAGCAGGTAGTCTTCTAGTTGTTCTGACCCATAAGAAATGGAGAAGCCAAATATAGTGTCAGAAGCAGGGATGACTTATTTTTGTAGCTGCAGTATACAGTAGTGTCTCGCAAGACAAATGCCTCGCAGGACGAAAAACCCGCAACACAATTGGTTTTTGCGATTGCTATGGTGCCTCGCAAGACAGTTTCTTCTATGGCCATGCTTCACAAGATAGGTTTTTTTTTTTTCAAGACCAATGCCTCGCAAGATGAAAAAAATTCATCTTGCGAGGTTTCCTCGCAAGACAATTTTTTCACAAGACAGCGCTTCTTGTGGAACGAATTACATTCGTCTTGCAAGGGACCACTGTATTACAATTTCAAACATACAGGCTTGCCATTTCATTGTACTCATAATGTGAGGGGGGCAGTGAGATCATGTTTGCACATGCTAATGAATGAGAAAATCAGTATACAGTGGTGCCCTGCATAGCAACGTTAATCCGTTCCAGGATTAACGTCGCTATGTGAAATCGTCACTAAACGGAACAAAAAAACCCATTAAATCCTGTTTAATGTGTTCCTATGGGGCAAAAACTCACCGTTCAGCGAAGATCCTCCATAGGGGCGGCCATTTTCGCTGCCTCGGTAAACGAGGAATCCGTCCAGAAAACAGCGGCGGCCATTTTGGAACCACCCATCAGCTGTTAAAAAAGCATTGCTTTGCCATGATCAGTTCCCCAAGCAGGGAACCTATCATAGCAAAGCACTGCCAACCAGCCAGCTAGCCAGCCTGGGAGACACCAGGCGTATTTGGGCAGCGGGCAAGCGAGGGCACGGGAGGAAGGCCGCCGGAACACCCGGGCCTTGCCCTGCCTCCCGGCTTTCCCCCAGCCACCCCCTCATCCCCTCCACCGCCGCCGCTGGTCAGCTGGGGGAAGCCGAAGCCGGCATTTCAGTACAGCTCCAGGGGGGATCCCTTCCCCCTCCCCTTCCGAAGCCGACGCTGAAGCCGGCATTTCAGCACAGCTCCGGAGGGGGGGAATCCCTTCCCCCTCCCCTTCCGAAGCCGACGCTGAAGCCGGCATTTCAGCACAGCTCTGGGGGGGGGAATCCCTTCCCCCCTCCCCTCCCGAAGCCGACGCTGAAGCCGGCATTTCAGCACAGCTCCGGAAGATGGGGAGGGGAATCCCTTCCCCCTCCCCATCCTCCTGAAGCCCCGCCCATCATATGCGTGAAAATGGGGCATAGGGGGAAAATCGCAAAGCGATTTTTCCCCATTGAAAACATTGTTTTGCGATCGCTTTTGCAATCGCAAAATCTTCATCGGTATGTGGATTATTCGTTAAACGGGGCACCCGTTAAGCGTGGCACCACTGTATTGGAGATGGTCTGAACTGATGTTTGGTGCTTTAAAGCCCTGCCTCCTCTGGCAGGTGCCCACTCAAGAGGTAGCTGCCTGGTTTCCCTGCCCCGCCTCTTCCAGGTGCTGCTTCCAAGTGGGCGTCTGCTGGAGGAGGCAGGGCTTTGAAGCGCCAAACGTGTTTGGCCAAAAAATGAACCACCTCTATAGTATATTGCGGGGAAGATGAACTAGCTTTGGATTTCAGCACACAGTAGTCTCCTGTGCTGGCACTTGTGATTACTTTGCAAAAGAAGAAAAACTGTTCAAAATGCAATTCTGTTACCAAACGAGATTGCTATCCCAGAGGCAACACTGTTTTAGCAAACAAACATGTGCACTGAGAAGTTTGTACGTCTGTCACCCTTATAGGTTGATGGCACTGTTTCACCAATATGTTGCAGATGAACATAGGTCAGCTTGAAATTTAAGTGAAGTAGAACCTGTACTAGGGGTTTACAGTGACTACAGGAGCAGTTTGGACTCTAGTTTGGAAAGCAGCCCAAGTCAACTTCCATTGATTCGGAATCACCTCATTCACCTTGGCTTGTATTCCAGTTCAGGAAACCAAATGTTCTATGCCTTCCATCGCCTGCCATTTGTAAATCACCAGACAGCTATAACTTTTTGTTAGCGTTAAATGAAATTTGCCAAAATAGCATTACAGTGGTGCCTCGCTTAACGAGCGCACCGTTTAACAAAAAATCCGCATAGTGACCTGTTTTTTGCGGTCGCTAATGTGATCGCATTGCAATATTTAGATAGGCTAAACATTGCATTGCGATCATTTCTGCACCCGGCGGCCATTTCGGAAACAGCTGATCGGCGGTTCCAAAATGGCCGCCGGGTGCAGAAAATGGCCGCCCGCACCATTTTCACGCCCTGCGCTCGTTTACTGGGCAGCGAAAATGGGGGCCAGATCCAGGATTCTTCGCTTACCGGTGAGTTTTTCCCTAATAGGAACGCATTAAACAGAGTTTAATGCGTTCCTATGGGTTTTCCCCACCTGGATAGCGAAGAATCCGGATAGCAATGTTAATCCTGGAACGGATTAACGTCGCTATCCGGGATACCACTGTACTTTATTTGAAGAGATGATGTCTGCATTTTCAGAAAAATAGATGTATGCCGTTTCAGTCTATACCTTTATATTTTCAGAAGAGAGGAATCCAACGTTTGAGGAAGGCCATGATTTACTTCCCTTTACCACCACTGCCTCATCGCCTACTTCACATCTTGCATAAAAAGACACACACACACCCCCAAAAAAACCTCACCTTGCAGAAGGATTGGTGCAGGGACTAGGAGGGAATGATGGTTGCAACTACTGCTTTTGTTTCATATTCAAAAGGCACACAAATGGCAGTGGAACAGGGATGAATATCAAGTATGTAGTGGGGCAGATACAAGCATGTGAACATCTGCCAGTTTCCAAGAATGCCTTGCCTTGCTTCAGACACTCCTGAACGTGCCTCAATCAACCTCCTTTGGTTTCTGGTTCAGAATTCAACCGAATCTCATTAACATGTGATGTAATGGAGCGATTCACATGGTCCTAGAAGACTGGGTGCAATTACATATTGATGAAAGCTAACATTTCATTCTATGCAAGCTGTAATAGCCCATAGATAAGGCCTATGATAGGGAGGTAGGAAATATCTAGTAAGACGTATATATGTATATAGATGCTTTTAGTGCTTCGGTGTTTTTAGTGTTTTTAATGCTTTTATATTGTTTTTTATGTTTCCTAATTTAAAAAATGTATCTTACTTTTGCTGGTAATGACCGTAATAAACATTTATTATTGTAGCTAACATTACTTTCTAAAATGCAGGAACAAGCACAAGCGATTTGTAAGGTGTTGTCAACAGCCTTTGACTCTGTCTTAACATCTGAGAAGCCTTGAATTTCTGCAGCTGCACTTCATATGGAGAGGCAGTACTGGCTGCTGTGCCTGTAGCAACGGGAATCGAAACAAGTATTCCAAAGGAGATGGGAATTTTAATTTCTTAAATAAGGAACTGTTTGAGCGCTTTGAGGGAACATTAGAGGTGTTATGAAAAATCATTGTTTTAAACTATTTTGCTAAGGGTCCAGCCAATAACATTAAGGTCATGCTTAATGACCTTGTACAGTGATGTCTAAAGCTGAGCAATAAGTATTGCAGATTATCTTTTTCTTCTATATTTGAATAAAAAATGTTCATGAAAGCTGTGTCTTGCTAGTTACTATCATTTACTCTTGCTCTGTATGAACATCTGAAGTTCATGTAGTAAAGCATGATTTCTTTAACAATTGGTTAAAGCAGGAATTTACTGTTAAGATTACAGTTGAAGTGATGTACTTTTAAAATAAGACTTAGAATACATATAATGTATGATTATACATTGTATTTTTCAATAGATAGCTCATTGTATCTCTGCATCCAGTAATAGAAAGTCAAGAGGAGGCTTAAAAGTAGTTTATTTTTCCAGTTAAGTGACTGGTTTAACAAAAGTAAAATTAATCATGCTCCAATTATAAATCAATGCATCCAGACACTAAAAATAAGAATTGGTTCAGATTATACAATGCATACAGTTGCTCTGCAACTAAACAACCAAAACCATCACATTGAAAAATTACACATCTCAAGTAGCATTCTGAGCTGCATTTTATGCCCCTTTTAAAAATAATTAACACAGTAATCTTATGTGCTCTCCAATAGTTTGCTAAATATCATCATTCCATGTTGCCAGCTGTGAAATATGATATGACCTGGAAATTGTAATATCTGGCTTTAAAACAAATGTTACCAGGATATCTGACTAAGTTAGATTGTCAAACAGTGCCTTAAAAAACAAAATGGATTTTAAAGATAGTCTATTACAAGCCTATGGTCATCATCACAGTAGTGTGAGAAAATGCTCCTGAAAAAACTTCCAGTGACCATGATTTAGATGTTGGCAGGAGACTGGAAAGCTTTCAAACTGAGATGAGACTCCAGGTATCTCCTTCAGGTGCACCTCAGCCATGAGGCATACTTAGTGAAATCTGACTCACTGGATCCTAGCCAGTGAAAATTTTATGGGCCAAATACATTTCCAAGTGCTATTTCGCACATGATAGCATTTGAAAGATTATGTGTTGAAAAATACTGTACATAAGTGAACTGTGCAAAATAATGTGCCAATTTATCTTCTAGCGTTTACCAGCATAGAAACATATACAGTAGTGTCAAAAGCCAAACTGGATCCATCAGCATCTGAATAAATGTGTAGTGGCAAACTACTTTTCTAATATACATACATATCTTAGTGGGAACTTTGAATATGCAGACTTAGCTTTGAAACTTGCAACAAAACTGTTTAAACATTCCAGTTTGCTCCCATAAACACTGCAACAGCTCGTATTAACGTGAGTTTCCAACATAAGCCAACCGATTTGCAGCCAAACATTTGACAAAGTTTTTCCTCAAATGTACCATTTTTGCAAGGCATAAAGGGTAAGATCTGGCATTTATTGCCACCCCCTGACAAATATAAATATACCAACTGGGCTTTCCCCCCCTTCTGTCTCAACTTATGGCTAGCCAATATATACATAATTTCTGAGTCAGAAATTCAAAGTTCTCTTGATAAATCTAGAGATACAATAGTCACAAAACCTGTGATCAAAGCCAATGTGACCTGGACATTGATATTCTAATTCTATGCTACCAGTGAACATTTTAGGTAGCATATGCAAAATAAAAACCTGTTACAATATCACAATATACAAACATTAAAAGGACATTGCTATGTTTTGTAATAGTCTATTATCTGTTTGGAATTATGAAACCTATTCACAATTATTAACAGTGTTAACTACCATGTTCCAAAGTACACAGTATACAGTGTGAATCTGCAAACATGGACTGAACTGCTTGCAGGACAGTGGTGTTTACATTAGCACTTGGATCAATATCCTACTACATTGTCCCACCACAATGTGCTTTAAAAAAAATTTAGGCGCCATTACTTCTGTTTCCAAAGAAAAGGACAGCTGAATAAAATTGAGGAACAATTCACATCTAAGTTTATTTACCAATAATATTGGTGTGAGGTTTTGTTACCTCAAATAAGACCAAAGAATAAAACATGTCAAATGCATACTTGTATAGAAAAAGTATGACCTCACATCTACAAAATATGAGGTGGAACAGGTTCAGGATTTAAAGCTAGTTATCTACATCAAACTATTAAAATATTTCTTTTGTGGAATGGGGATTTTTTTTTTTTGGAACAAGCTTCTGGATAAATAAATACAACTATTTTATTTCTTTTCTATCTGATGTCTGTATATTATATGTTCCCAGTATTCAAACACTTTGATTATTCCCTGCTAAGAGTTTTTATGCCTAGAGATCACCAGTGGCAGAACGGCTATCCTTTTACACTGGCTGCCAAGATTCCAGCAAAGAGGAAAATCTGCTAGATATATGGCAAGCTCAGTTTCTACCTAGATATGCTGGCTGATGGTGGAAAACCTGAGGCCTTAGTTGTGTGCTTTTTGCAGATGGCATAGGAACGATGTTTATTCTGGCCTGTCAGGAACTTGAGGATTCACCCATGGTGGGAATTTACAGTAATACTGTACAGGGGTGGGCAAACCATGACCCTCCACACCCATCAGCCTGACCCAGCAAAGCCAACTATCAGAAACGCTAAGGATTGTAGTCCCAGCCATTTCTGGAGGGCATAGCAGTTTTTGAAACATGCAGTTTTTGCATGTGATTGCGTCATAGGTGCCGTCTTAAAATGACTACTCCAAGGTTAAGGCAAGGGAGCAGGACCTCTTTTTTTTTCTCTCCCTCTGAGGGCAATATGTGATTGGCCAAGACACAAGCACCAAAACACCAATGATCCCTCTTTCCTTACTGGGAGGAAGTGATGATCCTCTGGAAAGTTCAGTCCTCACTGCGAAGAGCAGAGGGGAAAGAGTGAGCCATAAGAAGCTAGGTTGGAAATTGGCAGGGGTGGATGACAGACAAGGACACAGGTAAGGCCATAGGGGGTGGGAGAGCTCCCCCATCTTAAGGCTGTTTCTTCACTGTAGATAGAAGAGAAAGGACCATGAGGCCTTTCTGCTCAGTAGCCATATGGTGGGGGGGAGGGGGTTTTAGACTTCCAGAGATGGCTGGCCACAGCATGGCCAATGGAGTATGGGAGGAGGAGTCCTCATTTTTTGAGGGAAGTCCCTCCCTCAGCCCTGCCAACATAGGGTAAATATTTCCTGTCACTTTGCTTGTAGGAATAGGGCTTTAGAGCCTATATCAGCAGCTACAAGCGATCAAACCCCATAAGTCCTGGTAGAATAGTCTCTTGAAAATGCAGCTGGTTTCATCGATGGGAAAGAGCTGCCAAGTTCTTAGGCACATTAATAGTTCTTGATGCAACCAGTTTTGGCCCCTCAGACTCAATTCTACATGAGTGCAAGTGTTCCTCGCACCCGAGGACTGCTAGAGCCGGGGCACTGGAATCAGTGCAATTTTTGTAACAGATTTCCATCAGATGGTCCTGCAAGAGCCCAATTCTACAGACTCCTGCCTGCATAGACAGTCACCAAAGAGAAGAAAGATGGTTCGTCTGAGTAAGGATGGGTGAGTGCAAAAGCATACCCCTCTGTACTTCTCCCATGACTATGTACTCACATAGGTAGCCACACAATTATAGCTCAGGTGAATTATCAGGGCATTACATAAGGTCTGATTTCTGCCACTCTCAGTCCTCTCTATCCAAGCATTTAAAAATAAATACATCCCAAATCAGTATTATAAACTTACACATTCTAACTATATTTGTCTGAAGAAGCAGCTCTTCATTTTTAAAAAACTATTTCTTTTTTGATATTGTGGCAGGGATTTCTCTTGGGGGTCATTTGTCAGGGCTCTGGTAGAAGGTTCGTGTTCTGCCACCAAGCAGTCCAACCCTCCTCCCTCCTTAGCACCACTCCCTGGTCAGCAGAGTTCACCATACACAATGGATGTGAACAAGGGCAATAAGGGATCAGCGCACAACTTCTCAATGCCCGGGTGCCATTTTATGTTATATCCTCTCATTTTTGTAGTGTACTAAAAGCAGGACAAATTGTCACTCTTAAAATCTGAGTATTTGGTGCAGCTACACTGTCCTGAGATAGGGCTCGAGACACTGAGTGCAAACAGAGAAGAGATATGCATCACAGGCCCCAAAATGGGCCCTGAAAGGTAAAATAGCTGGTGTAGTCAAGCCATTAGTCTCATAGCTCAACTGGTTTGCCTACTTTTAAAAATCAAGAGCCCCAGGGCCAGAAATGTCCTTCCTTAAGGAAGCCAGAAACCATGCTGCCTAGGATGCTGAGGAAGTTTCAAAGGGGGATTTGCTGTCAATATAACTTGGACTGAATTCCATATATTTCTGAGCCAGTGGCTTGTATTTTGGAGCTTTTCAATTCACCACGAAAATATGTGAGCGGATCTGCTGTTTACAAAGCCAAATCCTTCCATGGTCAAACTGAAAATCTGAAGTTCTGTCATGACATTTCTAATAATGCATCAACAACTGTGTATCACTTCATGAAATATCTTTGCAAAGCCTCCAATTATAGGCAGGAAGCCTCAGAGAAATCTCGAAATGGATCATCTCTCCACCTATTCAATCAACAATAAAGTGCACAAATGATACAGGAAAAGCTCCTTTCCGATTAGGTTCTCCCTCAATATGGCCAATCTGGAAAAGAAATAACACATAAGTAGTAAAGGTTGGAGCTTGTCTGTATTAACGAGCACTCAAGAGAAAGCTGACTGCCAGTGTATAAGCTGTAGCTGGAAACAAAAATGGATCCCCAGCTATGAAATGTAGGATCTCAGGTATGTAGGGGAATTTTGCTTCAAGTTCTCAATACTTAAAATTAATACAGTTCCAATACGTTCTCAGTTTTCTACCATCTAAAACAAAATGAAACAGTAGGCATAATTGTTATATTTACAGAAGTGAAGATTTACTTAACTGCATGATAGTAGATAACCACACATGATAAGTAGTGTACAGAATAAAAATTAAGCATCTCAATTGTAGGTTGATGCCAAGCTCTAGCAAGCTAAACAATGCTTTGATTCACACACGAGCTTTGTTTCACATGAAGAACCAGTGCAGTTTCTTGGATCCTTGCCTAACATCCACCAACATTCAGTCAAAATGCTCACACTCTCCCTTTGCAACTGCTCAGTCCTTTCCTCAAAAGCAAGGAGGCCTGAAAAATTGGAGGGGAGCCACCGCCACCACCCTTTTCAGGGTGCAGTTCAGCAGAACTGCTGAGCGATGGTGAAAGGGAAATGATTTTGCCAACCTAGCTGATGACATGGAACTGGCCGTCTCTGACTTTAATACCACTTGGTAAAGTAAGTCTAGGGCACTTTGTTTTGCTGGCCTCACGCAGCTAGCGGGGCTGGTGAACTGGCTCTTTTCACCAATGTCCAGCTGTTTTCTTGAGCAAGGAAACTGAGGAGATCATGGAGAGGAGAAGTTTAAACCTTTCTTCTTCACAAACTCTTTCCCAACTACTTAGAAAAATAGCTAAAGACCAAAAAAGATGGAATCACTCTTGAAGTGGCATTGTATGACTGAGTAGACTTCCCTTTCCTAATGTAAACAGTATTCTTGTTCACATCTCCTTTCCTGGATAATTTTGAAAAGATAAAAACGAACACCACATATTTTACAGTCTTTCAAGGATTTCAGCTGAAAGATACTTACCCACCACTCCTGATCTTCCTCACCATCAACTATGATAATATTACCCTCTGAAAATGTTAGTTCATCTGGATTATCTGCTACACAGTTATAGATGGCTTTTACTCTCTTGGGCTTTGTCTTGGACTGAAATACAGAGAGAAACAAACAAAAAACAACAACAAAAAAACAGATGATCTGGTTAAAGACGAATAGGTTTTATTTGGCACAAGTTTTCATGAATTGTAGGTTTCATGATTTCTTCACAACTGCAGTCACAATATCCTGTGCTGTTTTGTTTGTTTGTTTGCCTGCAGCAGACCCGTAAGGCTCTCTCCTTAAAACAACTATACCTCAGTTTAGTCATCAATTGGAATAGGGTGCAATCAAGGAATCAGAAGACTGAGACTTGGAAGACCAGCTATGAAGAAACTAGAAAAGATCTACTGCTGTCCAACTCACTGGTTTAGGTCTCTGGCTGTGGAGCTAGAGGTTGGGAGTTCAATTCCCCTCTTTGACAGTGGCTGGACTTGATGATCCATAGCAGTGGTTCTCATCCTTGGGTAACCCAGGTGTTCTTGGACTGCAGTTCCCAGAAGCCTTCATCACCAGCTGTGCTGGGCAGGGCTTCTGGGAATTCCAGTCCAAAAACACATAAGTTACCTAAGGCTGAGAACCACTGATCCATAGAGTCCCTTCCAGCCTCACAGTTCTAAGTTTGTTGCTGTTATCTTCAAAGATAGGGATGTGTTGGTGGATGCCATGGCCAAATAATCCATACTATAGTATTCCCAATTACTATGTATGTATGTGAAAGATACAAGGAGGAAAAAATCAATTCATTGAAAAAAATAATGTTGGAGGAGCGGTGCACTCTTTTCACCAGCAAACGGATGACATAATTGCTAGGGCGAACCAGCCTGGCCCCAGAGCGTTCCTACCCACACCTTCCTGACTCCCTGTCAGGGGCTATTGATTTTAGGTGTGGGTATGATGGCCCCATTCTGGTTTGATTCCAGTGTGTGTGATGGGATTGAAGCAAAGTGGCTGGCCGGTTGTTCCTCTGGAGAAGCTGCTTTATCAAGACTTCCTACATGTACTTCTGAAGATGCAATACCCCTAATAGTTAGGTTACCTATCTGTAACTTTGGTTCTTCTAGTGGTACTCTGTGAATTCACACAAATGGGTTAATCCTGCACCTGCACAGGACGTCCAGAAGATTCTAAAGCTTTAGAAAAAAGAGTCAATTAGTCCCCCCCCGAGGGTATATAGGCTCCACCTCATCCCTCTCCTTTCAGTTCTTCTAGAGCTTTAGAAAAAAGAGTCAATTAGTCCTCCCCGAGGGTATATAGGCTCCGCCTCATCCCTCTCCTTTCAGTTCCCTAAATCCGCCATCACCGTATATAAAAAGATAGCAAGGTATCATGACACAGTATCATGACGGATAGAGAGGAGGAAGGGAGGGATGTGTGAATTCACAGAGTACCACTAGAAGAACCAAAGTTACAGGTAGGTAACCTAACTTTCTTCGTAGTGGTCTCTGTGAATGCACACAAATGGGTGAATGGCAAGCTGTACTCACCGGCAGGAGGGCTGTCACGATATCAGAGATAATAGTATCGCCCGTCCAAACGCTGCATCATTTTTGGCTCTGACGTCTAGGCGGTAGTGTCTGGCAAACGTCAGAGGGTTGGCCCAAGTAGCCGCCTTGCAAATGTTCTGTAGTTGAACACCCTTGAATAGAGCTGTCAATGTAGAGACCGCTCTGGCAGAGTGGGCCTTCAAACCGTCTGGTACAGGCCTATTGGCGAGCTGGTAAGCCAACTGTATGAGCTGAACAATCCACCTGGATATTGTGAAGAAGCAGCAGCACTTTTGTGTGGTCCATGATAGCACAGGAGGAGATGCGGGGAGCCTTGATATGATGACGGTAGAAGGCAAGAGCTCTTCTGACATCGAGGGTGTGGAGTTTACGCTCTAATGGCGTGGACGGAGAAGGAAACCGTGTTGGAAGCACAATGGGCTGGTTGACGTGAAAATCCGATACCACCTTCAGTAAGAAGGAAATGTCAAGGTAAAGGGTGACTTTGTCAGGGTGCATTTGGAGGTACGGAGGATCTGATCTGAGTGCAGCCAGCTCACTCGCTCTTCTGGCCGACGTAATGATTACAACAAATGCGGTCTTCAGCGAAAGCAGTTTCAACAGGTAGCCATAGGTTCAAATCGAGGCTTGGTGAGAGCTTCCAAGATGAGTGGTAGAGACCATTGTGGTGTGAAGGAGGTCATATGTTTTGTAGGCCCTTCAGGAATCTTTTAAGAGTAGGGTCGGAGAAGAGCCTGGTGGAGCGCGATCGAGGAGGCTGGTGAGCCACGACTGCCAAAATGTAAACTTTAAGTGTGGAATGAGCCAGTCCCAGGTTGAAGAGATGGAGCAGGAAGGTAAGCACCATGCGCAGAGATGCCGGTACTGTGATCATGCCTTTGGCTTGAACGAATTTGCTGAAAGTTTTCCATTTGGTCTCGTACAGCCAAAAGGTGGGCAGTTTTTGGGCTTGGTCTAGGACCGCACGGAACCTGGGGATATCCTCCACGCCGTCAGGTGAAGAGACCGGCAAACCAGGGTTGGCGCAGCCACCATGGGGCAATGAGAACTGCATTCGTTTGGTACTGAATGAGCCTGGTTACGGTCCTGAGGAGAAGTGGTATTGGAGGGAACAGGTAAGTTAGTTCTCTGGACCATGGTATGAGGAAGGCGTCTCCGAGGGATGAGGTGTCTATGCCCGCCCTGGAGCAGTACCGGTTGCATTTGGTATTTCGATGGGACACAAAGAGATCTATCGTGAGCTGTCCCCATCGGCTGCATAAGTCTAGGAAGACCTTCTGGTCGAGGGCCCATTCGTGCATTCTGGTGGGTAGTCAGCTCAAATGGTCTGCCAGGGAATTGTCCTTGGACTCAATATGGATTGCTTGGGGAAAAATGTGGTGGGAGCGGCACCATTCCCAAAAACGTAGAGTCAAACAAAGGAGGGGCCTGCCCTGTCTGTTGATGTAGTGCATCACTGTGGTATTGTCTGTAACCAGCTGTACCACGAGCCCTCGTATGTGGGACAGGAAGGCTTGAAAAGCCTTGATGACAGCCAACAGTTCTAGCTGGTTGATGTGGATGGCTCTTTGGTGCAAAGTCCAGAGGCTGTGCGCCTGTAGCTCCTGGCAGTGCGCTCCCCATCCTGAGGGGCTGGCATCTGTCACGACTTGTATGGACGGATATGGAGGGTGGAACAGTCATCCCAAGGAAAGATTGTTGGGCATGGTCCACCAGATGAGATGCTTGGCTACTAGAGGCGAGATCCTTAACTTTTTTGTAGGAGGGTCCATCATGGGATCGTACCGGGTGAGAAATCAGGACTGGAGCGAGTTTTAGTCTCGCGAAGAGTACGACTGAGGTAGTGGACGCCATCAGGCCTAAGAGGTGCAGGGTATTGTGCGCAGTCAAAGTCGCGTACGGTGTGAACTTGAAGACTGCTGCCTGGATTTTGCAAATTTGCTGAGATGGTAGGAAAGCTCTCATGCGAATCGAGTCCAATGTTGCTCCTATGTAGGAGCCAGTCTGGGACAGTATCAGGCTGGACATTTTCTCGTTGATTTTTAACCCAAGTCTCTTTAGGGTGTAGAGGGTGAAGTTTGTGGCGGAGACTGCCTCGTGGTAGGATTTTGCCACTAAGAGTCAATCGTTTATATAGGGAAAAAATTTTATCTCCTTGGTACGGAGGTAAGCCATGACTGGTGCCATGCATTTTGTGAATGTCCTGGGGGCTGTGGAGAGTCCGAACAGAAGAGCGGTGAATTGGTAGGTATCGTGATAGAACCGGAACCGTAGGAATTTTTGATGAGACGGGTGAATGGAGATGTGGAAGTAGGCGTCCTGTAAATCTATGGTGACGAACCAGTTTCCCTGTGACAAAAGAGGCAGAATGGAGTCAAGAGTCAGCATACGGAATTTCTTCTGGAGAATGTATAGGTTGAGGTCTCTGAGGTCCATGATGGGCCTTATGTCTCTATCTTTCTTGGAGATTGCAAAGTAGCACGAGAAGAAACCCTCGCTGGAGTCAGAGGATGGTACCCTAGTTATGGCCTCCTTGGATAGGAGTGCTGAGATTTCCAAATGCAGAGGCATGGAAAAAGGAGTTGTTTTGATTGAGTTTGGTGACGGGGTCTCTGAAAATTTGATCAAATAGCCCTTTTCAATGATATTAAGTACCCACTTGTCAATAGTGATGGTTTGCCATTCATGGAAGAATGGGAACAGTCTGGTGGTCCATAAGCTTTGTGAAAGGACTGTTTGGGGCTGCGAAATCATTGCAGTTTGAACAAGAGAGCGGTGGACTGTTGAGTCTGATAAGTCTGGTCCTGCTGTTGTTTGCTATACTGAAAGGGTTGGTACTAAGTGGAAGATTGGTATTGAGGCTTTTAGTATGCCCGTTTCTGGTACCTATACGGCTGGTATGGTATGTAAGATTTTGCTGTCTTTCTCATCTTATGGATATTTTCCATGATTTCGTCGGTTTTGGAGTTGAATAGTCCAATTGTGTCGAAGGGTAGATCCTCAATTTTTGTTTTAGTGTCGTCGAGTATATGGGCGGTTCTGAGCCATGCCTGGCATCTGACAACTATTGCCGTTAGCATGGATTTAGAGGCAATGTCTGCCATCTGTTTTGCAGCGAATCTCTGTTGCCTGGTCAGGGCATTAGCCTCTTCATAAACGTTGAGGGCTTCCGTTGTAGAAGGGTCAGGTAAAGTTTGTAGCATAGGGATTATTTTGTCCCAAAGATGCTTCTGGTAAGTGCCCATGGTCGCTTGAAGGTTGGCTATTTTGATCAAAAGGGCAGCGAAGGCATAAAGCTTTTTGCCCAAATCATCCGATTTTCTACCCTCTTTGTCAATAGGCGTAGCTGATGACCGGGTACGAGACCTGTATTGGGTAGCTTCAACCACAATGAAGTTGAATGTTGGATGATTAGTGAGGAATTCCAAATCCAACCCATGAGTTTTGTAGTGATGCTCTATTTTGCGAGGGACTTGAGCCATCGAGGGTGATTTGTCCCATGAAGTTTTAACCAATTCGTAGAGGACTGGAATGAGGCTCAGACTAGGAGGGGAAGTCATGTCCTGCTCCATGTCTTGAAAGACTAAGTCCCTTTCCTGTGCATCCAGCCGAAGCATTTTGGCCATGCGCATGATGAGTTGCGCATAAGAGAAGTCTTCTGAAGAAGGCTGGGAAGACGGGCCTTGACCGACTGGCTCAGGAGCCTCGGATTCACTGGATGCTGTAGAGTGGTCATCTGGGAAGTATTGAGAGGCTAGAGAAGGGGATTGGCGCAGTCCCGCATCCTCGGGAACAATGTCCATGTCAGACTGCGTGGACGTGGAAAAAGGCTTGGTATAGTGAGCTCCTGGGCCGGAATACAGAGTGGTAGCCCGTACTGAAAAATGTCGGCTACTGCGCTTGGCACGCTTGGGAAGTGCTGTAGGTACCATGGGGAAACACATCTTATGCAACGGTACTTGAGGTGTTGAGAGATCCACCTGGGCCTGGGGCTGATGTAGCGCGGGAGGAGCTACGTTTGGGGCATGGAAGTGCCTGGAAACTCTGGTGGGTAACCATAGCCTTGGTACAGAAACGGTTGGTACGGAGCGTAGTAAGGGTGGCCAAATGGCGGACCCTGTGGACGGTACCCATCTCCTCCATCTTGAGGTTGGTGTGGGTGGCCAAATGTGCGCTTTTCCGTACTTTTCCTAGGAGTGTCGTGGACAGACTCCTGTTCAGAAAGAGACTCGGTATCAGCCTGCCCTGAGTATCGAGGGCTAGAAGGGGCAGCGGCTCGGCTGGCGTCCGGCACAGCCTCGAATCGGCCCAAGTTTGGAGACATGCACATGGTATCCTGAGCCGTCTGGGCTAAAGGAATGTGCTCCTCAGTATCAGAAAGTCCAATTCCTTCCCTCGAAGACTCCTCGAGCAGTATTGAAGGAGCTGGAGGAGGCACAGTAGGCAGTTTAGCTGACTTCTTCAGCTTTTTGGACTTATCGTTGATTTTCCTTTTTGCAGGAAGGGCTACTCAAGAGAACGCCTTGGCTTCAGGCGGTTTTGAGGCTTCCTTAGGCTTCACAGGAAGAGAAATGGTAAGAGTCGACTGCTCAACAGGAGAAGTCTGTTTAGATGCCTCCGAACATGGAGGGGTTGGTGCCGGGAGGGAGGAGCCTTCCATGGCGGGAAAAATAGTCTTCTTGTAGAGAAAAGATCGAAGCCGTTGGCACCTGAGTTTAATGGCTTGCTTGGAAAAACCTTTGCAAGCAATGCAGGTCTGGTCGAGGTATGATTCTCCCAGACAAAACAAGCACTTTTCGTGGCCATCTGGGAACGAAATTTTGCGAGAACAAATAGTGCGCTGTTTGAAGCCCTGAGGGGCTACAAACAAAAAAGAAAAAAGGGGATCCATCGAAACGGGGGGGGGGGGGGGAGAAA